TTCAGATTGTGATATAGTGTAAACAGAAGTTTCAAATATTTTAAATACCTTTTATTATTTTTGATAAATACATTCAATTTAATTTACCCCCAAATACAACATGAAGCAAAAAAAAAAAAAAAAAAAAGTGGTGAAACAAAAAATATTTTATTAGACATGGATTATGGTAAGTATGACTATGACAATGCAATGCAATGATGAATGATATGTTATATATACAAAAGAAAAAGAAAAATCAAGCAGCATGAAAAGGAAATAAATACATAAGTGATCTATCACTTTGTATAGATCAACAAAGAGATACAGTATATATTTTCTGATATTTTATGAGCTATGAAAATAAGTATTATATTAAAAAAAAATGAAATGTGCAAAAAGAGACGTAAGGCAGCATTACTTGCAAACAGTTTGATGCAAGAAACAAAAATTAAGATACAAGTTACATTATGCAAGAAGATTTGCGAATTCATCTCGTTTTGGATTAAAGCTGCGTCTAAAATGGGGTCGTCTAATTCATCTAAAAGGACAGCAACTCCCGCAACACGCCTAGCAGCGTCGGCCATGTTGGTGTGTTTGTTTACAATAATCAGCTGAGAGGCGCTTCGCGTGGCGAAACTGTTCACTGGCCGTTTTGGGCCTGTGCAAGGCGCACCGTGCGGAAAGGCTCAAATGAACACACGGCATGAGGTCTAGGCGGGAGGAATGAGAGGATAGAATATTAAAATCAGTGTCAGAGAAAGGATGTGAGTGTTGGTGAGAGTGCTCTCTTATGGCCGAGAAAGATGGTCTGTTCAGCGGTAGTCCAGTATAAAATTACTTGCCTTCGTGTTCCATAATGCGGTGACATAACCATCGTGAGGTGGACCCCACGTACCTAACTTGGCAGCCAGGACAGGTAAATAGATATACCACATTAGAACGCAAATCAAAGAGGCATCTCGTAGGCTGTTTTAAGGAATTTTCAATAGTGTTACAATTACTCAAGTCAAAAGTAAATTTTTTTTGCGGGTGATGCAGAAAGAACTTGAGCCACCGTGATGTAAAGAAAGGGGAAAGATAGAAGGAAGAAAAATAAAAATCTTGAGACACGAAGAAAGATAAAAAAACGAGGAAAAAATGAAAATAATACGCAAAATATGATTTTGTAGGGAAAAAAACAAGACATTTATAAAACCGAAAAACCCGCGCTGAACAGAATCAAATCTACATTTTTGCTACGATGCTATTGTATATGAAACTAACGATCATTGTAAAATAAAGATAGACTATTTAGGATAGCAGTTGAGGATGGTAGATAGGAAAATGAAAGCGAAGAGGAGAGAAAAGAGAAAAAAGAGGAGAAAGAGAGAAAAAACGTGGAAGGATAATCGTGTTATTTCTAATAGTATTGTAGCTACATCCAGACCTCATTCTTGCTACGTTGAGTACAAAACGTCCTTGAATTCTCTTTTCATATCCATAAAAAAATCATCCTAATACAAAACCGTTCCAGATAAAAATCAATCAAATCAACATCACTTAATCACTCCAGACATCAATTCAAGTCCTAACATTTTCTAAATTTTTGTGGATATCATACAAACTTGAAAAAAAGAAACGGAAAGTCACAGCAAAAGGCGTCAGTGATCGATGCTTGTTATATAATAGTGGAAGAACGAAGGCTAATATTTCACATATTGTCCCTCTCCTTTCTTCTGGCTCCTCAATCTTCTGCTGTTTTGAGGGAGGGGGGAGGAGGGAGGGGAGGGGGTTGCAAGAGGAGGGAGGGGATGGGGAAGGAGGGGGTAGGGAGGGGTAAGGAGTTGAGGAGGGTAGGAAAGGGGTAGGAAGGGGAAAGGAATTGAGGAGGGGAGGAAGGGGGTAGCGAGGGGGAGAGGGTTAAGGAGGGGAGGAAGATAGGGAGTTAACGAGGAGTGGAGGAAGGAGAAGAGGAAGAGAGGTGGATGGAGGAGTGGGAGAAAGAGAGAGAGGTGGATGGAGGAGTGGAAGAAAGAGAGAGAGGTGGATGGAGGGGAGTAGGGGAAGAAGGAGGAGGACAAAGTAGGGGAGGAGAGAGAAAGAAGGAAGACAAATAAGAGGAGACGAGAGAAAGGAGGAAGATAAAGGAGACCTAAAGACGAACTAAAACTCACACGAGAGTTTAAAGCGTGCCCGCTTTTATCGACGTGGTGGAAATAGCATTTTAGCTGAGGAAGAAAAATTAAGGATTAAGAGCATACACGGGAAGATTCGTTTAGCGTCAGGTTGAAGTGGTTGATATGTGTGCGGCCATACCTCACTACCTATGAATGTGGCTCCATTTTATTTATTATTATTATTATTCTTTATTTTTTGTTATTACTTTTTGTTGTTTATTCCATTCCTACCGTTGCTGCTTCTTTACGTCGATATAATTCATCTTTACACAAGTCCACCATCGTTTACAAGAACGTTACCTATACCCACACACAGCCAATGGCGTCGTGAAACAAAACACATTAAAACCTAATGCCAATTTTCTTCCCAGATCACGCAAGAACCAGGTAATAATTCAAATATATTGTAGGAAAAAGAAGATAAAAAATACATTGCTGAAACGAGGACACATCTAAGTCGAACGAAAAAAGTGAAAGGCAGCGAAAAAAGGACAAAGTTTAGATAACTGGAATTTGTTTGAACGAAAACAGGCAATTATTTTACACTGAGTAAGAAAAATTAAGGATTAAGAGCATACACGGGAAGATTCGTTTAGCGTCAGGTTGAAGTGGTTGATATGTGTGCGGCCATACCTCACTACCTATGAATGTGGCTCCATTTTATTTATTATTATTATTATTTATTTTTTGTTATTACTTTTTGTTGTTTATTCCATTCCTACCGTTGCTGCTTCTTTACGACGATATAATTCATCTTTACACAAGTCCACCCTCGTTTACAAGAACGTTACTTATACCCACACACAGCCAATGGCGTCGTGAATGAAAATGCATTAAAACGTAATGCCAATTTTCTTCCCAGAACAAGAACCAGGTAATAATTCAAATATATTGTAGGAAAAAGAAGATAAAAAATACATTGCTTGAAACGAGGACACATCTAAGTCGAACGAAAAAAGTGAAAGGCAGCGAAAAAAGGACAAAGTTTAAATAACTGGAATTTGTTTGAACGAAAACAGGCAATTATTTTACACTGAGTAAGAAACATTAAGGATTAAGAGCATACACGGGAAGATTCGTTTAAGCGTCAGATTGAAGTGGTTGATATGTGTGCGGCCATACCTCACTTACCTATGAATGTGGCTCCATTTTATTTATTTATTTATTATTATTATTTTTTGTTATTACTTTTTGTTGTTTATTCCATTCCTACCGTTGCTGCTTCTTTACGTCGATATAATTCATCTTTACACAAGTCCACCCTCGTTTACATCAACGCTACCTATACCCACACACAACAAATGGCGTCGTGAAACAAAACACATTAAAACCTAATGCCAATTTTCTTCCCAGATCACGCAAGAACCAGGTAATAATTCAAATATATTGTAGGAAAAAGAAGATAAAAAATACATTGCTGAAACGAGGACACATCTAAGTCGAACGAAAAAAAGTGAAAGGCAGCGAAAAAAGGACAAGTTTAGATAACTGGAATTTGTTTGAACGAAAACAGGCAATTATTTTACACTGAGTAAGAAAAATTAAGGATTAAGAGCATACACGGGAAGATTCGTTTAGCGTCAGGTTGAAGTGGTTGATATGTGTGCGGCCATACCTCACTACCTATGAATGTGGCTCCATTCAATTTTCTTCCCAGATCACGCAAGAACCAGGTAATAATTCAAATATATTGTAGGAAAAAGAAGATAAAAAATACATTGCTGAAACGAGGACACATCTAAGTCGAACGAAAAAAGTGAAAGGCAGCGAAAAAAGGACAAAGTTTAGATAACTGGAATTTGTTTGAACGAAAACAGGCAATTATTTTACACTGAGTAAGAAAAATTAAGGATTAAGAGCATACACGGGAAGATTCGTTTAGCGTCAGGTTGAAGTGGTTGATATGTGTGCGGCCATACCTCACTACCTATGAATGTGGCTCCATTTTATTTATTTATTATTATTATTATTTTTTTTTTCATTAATTATTATGCCTTCACTCAACTCTTTCTGTTTGGATGTTCACGTGTGTGTGTGGTTTGTATGTGTGTGTGTGTGTGTGGTGTGTGTGTGAATAATAAGGATCGCTTACAAAAACGTGATTAATTGTGATGCATCTTATCCATCCTTGTCACATAAACATCAGCATTAATAGTAGTAGGTGTAATAGCAATGCCTTGATAGCTTGTTACAAACGGGCTTAAGCAGCAGTTTCATAGGAGTCTGCGACTTGACCTCAATATGATGAACATAATCAGAGAATAAAATTAATACAAACAACACGTAGAGCGTCTAAGATAAAATGCTACAAAATTCACAACACCTGAGAGTGAGGAAGAGGAGAAAAAAAAGAGAAAGAAAGAAAGAAAAATAATCAGAGGCGTAGACATCCATCCTGTAGTAACGACAGTGGTAAGAAAGTACACACAGGTCGGTTATATTACATGTGCTCACATCTTGACTTCCTTTAAACTGATTAAAATTACAATACAGCAATAACGGATGAAGGCAGGACTAATGTAAAATAAACTGAACAACTCATGTGATATTTGATAACCAAGTTTCTTCCTTCCTCCGTTTGGAAAATGACTTCCCGATTGTCCGGTGTAGTCATAGAATCAAACTAACCACTGCTACTGTTATGCATGGTTTATCGATTACGCTTCCGTACAATATATTCTGATATCTAATGTTCTGGTGTTGCCACTGGATATGTGCAATTCCTTCAGGAAGTATAATATAGATTCTTTCATCCTTAATTGTGTGTTTGTGTTTGTTTATTTGCGTGCTACCTTGTGAAATTGTATTTCTGTTTATAATCATACTATATACCTACATACTGACTACAAACTTCCTACTTCGTTT